GAAAAAACGAATAATGGAAAAGCTGTAAAAGGGACGAAATAAATAAAACCGCAGCCACTTCCCCCGGAGAGACGAGGTCGAGGCCGCTAGCTGTCGGAGGGCGTCGGGCCGAAGCCAGGCAAGGGCGGCCGAAGACCCTGCGTCAGGTGGGAGAAGGAACTCGACAGGAGGAACTGCGGCAGGAGGGACGCGGGCGGCAGGAGGGGGTTCTGGACCAGAGTCGGGCGCGAGTCGAACCGCAGCCTCTCGATCTCGGCCTCCTTCAGCCTCTTCTCCTTGGCGCGGCGGTTCTGGAACCAGATCTTGACCTGCGTCTCCGTCAGGCTGAGCGAGGCGGAGAACTCGGCGCGCTCGGCGATGCTCAGGTACTGCTTCTCGCGGAACTTCTTCTCGAGCGACAGGAGCTGCTGCGTGGTGAAGGGCGTGCGCGGCTTCCGGTTGGGCTTGTGCTTCCGGAGCGTGACCTTCATGGGGCCGTGGAACCGCGGGGGCTCCGAGGACTCTGCGGGGGAGAGAGAGACAATGAGATACGTCGCGCAGGGGGAGCAGGCGGCTGCAGGGGAGCCTCGTCTCCGCCGTCGCCTACTCTGAAAAGGGATGTAATTGCAGTAAAGATCAAAATGGTCTAAAGCCAGACAATATGAACTCCCCGAAGGCGAGGAGGGAAGCTGTGCCTATCTAGAAAGCGCCGGCAGCTGGGCAGCGGCGCCCTGAACAGACTCAAAGGCTGGAGCACGTACTGGCGGCGCACGCCCTGAGGGCCAGGTGGTGGTGCAGGAGGTGCAGGGGCGGCCACAGGCCCGGCTGGAGGCCCGCGGGGAGCAGCGGGTGGTGCGGGGGGCCGCCCACGCGCGAGGGGAACAGGGCGTCCCTGAGGGGAGTCACGGCGGCAGGCCGGAAGGCTCCCCCGTCGGAGGCGCAGTCCTCGAGGGAATCGTGCTCCTTCAAGTCATCCTCGGAGTCCATGCGGACCTCGACGTCGTCCTCGTCGCGGCGGCTGGGCGACCGCTCATCCTCGCGCTCGCTTTCGGCGTCCGAGGGCTCGGTGGGGGACGCCTTGAGGTCGTCCTCGGGCCGCGCCCCCCGCGAGTCCGAGGCGAGGATGGAGTCCACGGAGAACGAGGAGAAGTTCTTCCTGACGACGGTGCTGAAGGCCGAGTTGAGGCTGGGCTTGACCTCGGCGGCGGCCGGCGCCTCGCCCGACATGCTGCTGGCTCGCACTCGAGACGGCCGCGCCCTCAGCCCGGACGGCCCATTCCTCAGACGAAGGCCCGGCGACAGCTCCCCCCAATGAGGACAAGTGGTCTTATAAATATCTCGGCCGCCCTGGGAAGCCCTTAAATCACCTGCATTATTTTCTCGGCCGGCTAATGTTTACACTCGCCCTTCATGTAAAGAAATGGGCCCGGCGCATTCTGTTGCGGGACCAACACCTCTCAACACTAACTGTTCACCTTCGAGTATTATGTGGTAACTTCATCCGCGCTCTCGACATGGCCCCGCCCGTCACTCGTCGCCGCGCCCCGCCTCCTCCCCGCCGGCGGCCAATCAGCGGCCGCCCCCGGGCTCGAGGGCGGGGCTCGTAATAGCCCCATGACCAATGGCGTGGCGTCTTTGTGATCACCCGGCATGGACCATTAGCTTTATAGGAAGATTTACTGTCTGAGTGCTTGTGTAGGAGACAGGAGGCGCAGAAAGCCCCTTATTTCATCCCAATTTCTCTTTCTGAGTCGGCCTTATCCCGCGCTCCTTCTGGCAGACAGGTCACCCCGACCGCCGACGGTAATGAAATGGAAATGATCGCTGGGAGGGTGATGTAATTGACGGCGTGAGAGAGTTTGTCGGATCGCCCAGCCTTGACGAGCAGTTGAACAACCCTCGCTAACGATGCCCTAATGGTTGTCACACAGATACTCCGCCCCCCTTCCCACCCCGCCCCTCTCCCCCCCTCCTCTCCCTCCTCCCACTTCTCCCTCTCTACCCTCTTCTTTCCCCTCCTACTCCCTCTCTCTCCCTCTCTTTTTCTCTTTCCCCTTCTTCCTCTTCATCCCTTCTCTCTCCCTTTTCCTCTCCCTCTTCGCTTTTCCTTCTCTCTCCCTCCCCCCTCTGCGCCCCTTCTCTCCCCTCTCGAGTGCCCTCGTTTCTACCGCTCGTACCCTCCCTCCCCCTCCCCCCCGTCCCTCCCCTTGCCCATCTGCTCTTAGGGTCCCCACCTGCCCCTTAACTCCTCATCACCCTTAGCCTCTTTGTCTCCCTCTTCCCTCTCCCTTCATAGTCGAATTTCTTCCGTGTCTACTCATTCGCACCTCCAAAATATACTCTCTTCTTTCCTCCATTTTTCCTCTTCCTACTTCTTCCTGTTTCTTCTTTTCCCCTTTTTTCTCTTCCTACTTCTTCCTATTGCTTCTTTCCCCCTCTATTCCTTCTCCCTATATCCTCTCTCCCTCCCGCCTATCCCCCTCTTTTATCATGTGTTTATGTCATCCATTAAATTCCCCTTTTATTGATTCCATAATCTCTCTTCCTCTATCTTCTTGGGCGTTATTCCTCTCTCCCTCTGCGTCCAATTCTCTTTTATCAACCCTCTGTATCTTTCCGTCTCCCTCTCTTTCCTTTCTTTCTTATCTCTCTTATGGTCCCTTTCCATAGTGTTCAATAAGCACATTCTTATCTTACTCTATTGTTATCTCCCTCTCCTTCACCTCTCTCCCCTTCCTTCTATTTCCTCTTCTTTCCGCTTTTTCTTTCTCCTTTCTTCCTTTTTTCTCCTCTCTCTCTCTGCTCCTCCCTTTCTTTCTCCTCTCCCTTTCTTCCACTTTTTTTCTCTAACTTTCCTTCTTCTATCTCTCATTCTTCTCTCTCTCTCTTCCACTCTTTCCTTTCTCTCTCCTGCTTCTTCACTCCCTTCCTTCTCTTCTCTTTTCCTTCCCCTCCTTTAATTCTCTCCTTCTCCCTCTCTTATTTCTCTCCTCTACTTCTCTTCCCTTCTTTTCCATCCCTCTTTCGCCTACTTCTCTATCCTTCCCCCTTCCTTTTCGTCTTTCCCTCTTCTTTTCGCTCTTCCTCCCCTCCTTCTCTTCTCTTTCCGACTTCTCCCTCCGTC